AGTATTGGCTATTTTAATAATTTTTTAATTTTTTTATAAAAAAATTGTATAAAAAAATAAAAAATAATATAATAATTTATAGTAATTTTTTGATTTTTTAACTAAAATAGTTATTCCCTAAACGAGGCCCAAGGCCTCTTTTGATTAATTGGTTTTAGCCACTTTTGCGGGTTTGTAATAAAAGTTAAAAGTTGATTTTTTGTTATTTAAAGATATTTGGAAAGTTAGGCCAAGTTTGACAATTCAAAAATAATTCAAAAAATTAAAAAGTTACACAAAAAGTAAAAAAAACATTCAGTATGTTTGGTTTGAGTTTTTTGAATTAAGTTTTTTGAAAACTCAATTTTTTGATTTTCATGTTTTTTTATTTTTAGTGAATATTTTAAAATTTTTAATATTTTTTTTATTTTTTTAAATGCACCTTACTTAGATGTATCTAAAAAGTAAAAAAATTGTGAAAAATATTTTAAAATTTTAATAAATACATAAAAATACTAAAAATATCCTGAATTCTCGTACTTTTTTTGTATTTTTGATATTTAGTGAATTTTTAAAAGGTCTTTTTTATAATTTTTTTTACTTTTTAAGTATATTTATGTTAGGTATGTCTCAAAAGTAAAAAAAAAAATTGCTTAAAATATTAAAAAAATTCAGTAAAAACAAAAAAATACGAAAAACAAGAAATGAAAATTTTTTGAAAAGTGTTTTTGAAAAAATACAACCAAGCAAGCTGAATCATTACTATTCACAAATAAAAAATATTAAAAAAATATTTTATATATTACAAAAAGTGCAAATCGATTGAGCAGCTGCCCTTGTGATAGCGACGGGCATTACACATTTTGTTTTGGCCAAAAAAAAATTATATATATAAAGTCACAATAATGTTGGGCCCATGGGGGCCACTAAGGACTCCCTTTTGATAATTCGAACCGTCAACATGTAGAAATCGTCGATTAATATATTTTTGTAAAAAATCATGTTGATTGGATATTGTTAACTATATGATCAAATCAGTTTTGTATAAACAAAACGGATAGTGTAATAATTAACTGTTGGGAAAAACACTAATTTGATTATATAGCAATCGATATCCGATCAACGTGATTTTTTACAGGCATATAATACTCGATAAGTTGTAGATATTGAACGGTTTAGATTATTAAAATGGGATCTATGGTGGCTCTCACGGACCGACTATCACTGTCCAAACACTTTGCCCCGAAGGAGGCAATTATTTTCTTTGTAAAACCTTTACTGTCCAATTACCTTTCTTCCACTATACACTTTATTTATATAATTTTTTATTACACATTTTTTCGTAAAAAGATAAAAAGTTACCCAAATATTCATATTTTTTTTCTCAACTTTTTATTTCAAAAAGATAAAAAGTGCACTTATTTAGGACACCCCAAACAACCCCTAGTTTTTAGTCACTAATGAAATTATAATTCTATTCCTCATGGATCAAAATATGCTACATGAGTGAAATTGTAAATATTTTAAATTAAATGGAAATAGTTTGGTCATTTTATTGTGATTTGACATCATAAACCAATATTAATAAGAAAAAGTCAAAAATACTTTTTTACTAACTTCTCAATTCACTTGTCTAAAAAAATCAAGAATAAGTTATTTTAATAATTTTTTAGTGATTTGGTCATTAGGAATAGGTTATTTTAATAATTTTTTTACTTTTTATGAAAAAATATACAGAAAAGTAGAGAATAATATGGTAATTTATAGTGATTTTTTGATTTTTTGACTAAAATAATTACTCCCTAAACGAGCCTAAGGCCTCTTTTGGTTAATTGGCTTTTAGCCACTGTTGTGGGTTTGTAGCAAAAGTTAAAAATTGGCTTTTTGTTATTTAAAGATATTTGGGAAGTTAGTTTTTAATCACTGATGAAATTATAATTCTACTCCTCATGGATCAAAATATGTTATATGAATAAAATTGTAAATATTTTAAATTGAATGAGAATAGTTTGTTCATTTTATTGTGATTTGACATCATAAACCAATGTTAATAAAAAAAAGTCAAAAATAACTTTTTACTAACTTCTTAAATCACTTGTCTAAAAAAATCAAAAACTTAAAAGTCAAAAAGTCACTTTTTACTATCTTCTCAAAACATCCTAAGTTAGTGTTTGGATATTAGGTTATTTTAAATGTTTTTGTTTCTTATGATCTTTTTTTTAATATTTAAATTATGGGGGTGTTTGAGGAGTTAAAAATTAATAATATTTCTTTTATTAAAATTTATAAAAAGATAGAATAAGTTAAAGTAGTCAATAAGATAAAATGTCACATCAAATTTATAATCATTTTATTTTTTTCTCATAAATATCATATTCAACTATAAAAAAATCCAATCGTCTTCCAAATAAAAATATTTTAACCTACTAAAATAATTAAAAATTAAAATAACTTACTAAAATAACCAATTTTCTAAATGAGGCCATGTTTCCAGTTTGACTTCGGTAAACAAATCAAAAAGGTAAAATGAAATGAAAATTTTCAAAAACAAAAAAAACTGAAAAAGTAAAAACAGTTAACTATTTTTTACCTGTTTTTTTGAATTTTTTTAAAAAATTATAAATTTTCCGATTCGTTTCACCGAATTGAATCTAGAAATATAAAACTTTTTAAATTTTTCTAAAGAAATAAAAGAAAAAAAAAAAAGAGGCAAATCCTGGACAGTGAGATATTTCTATCTGTTTTGTGTAATCAATAAAAGAATAAAACAAACGAGAACTAGAGGATAGGAGTCTATTTTGATAATCCGAACTGTTCACATTTTAAAATACATCAATTAGAATATGCCTGTAAAAAATCAAGTTAATCGGATATCGTTTGCACATTCATCTACTCACATTTTTATCTATAAAAATAAATAATAATTGTGTAAAATGATAATTTACAAAAAAATCCATTCAACGATGACTTATTTGTATTTTTCATCTCTAAATTTTAAAATTCAATAGTTAATCATTTTAAAATATTATCTCATTACACTCTATACTTTCCATTAAGATTTTGTTAAAATTTAAATGGACTGAGGTCATGTGTAAGCTACATGACACACTAATATTGTGTTTAGTTCATTTAGAAAGATATTTTTCATGAATCAAACACAATGTTATTGATATTTTAGGACAACGTACTCTTATCTAATCATTTCATTTGCACTTTGGTTCCCTTAGTGGCAAAACTAAGACCATTTTCAACACTTCACCAATTTTTCATTTATTTCAGTTCTAAATTGAGCAAAAAATTTGATTTGATATAAATTACTCTAATTCTTTCATCAAAGTTTCTTGAAAATACTTATAAAAATTCCCCTCTTATCCAAAATTTTCTTTTTCATCAAATTGGATTTAAAAAAAAAAAAAAAGCATCTCCACTACTTCATAATTTTAAATTTAAATTTGATGAAATATTTGATAGGTTTTTAATTTGATGAAAAAATTGCCATCCCTTATGAAATGATTAGAGATGATTTTTAAATATTTTTTCGTCAAATTTAAATTTGATAAAAAAAAATATAAAGGATTGGAGATACTCTAATATCAACTGCTGTTTCAATGCTAGTTATTACTGTCTTCTTCTTTCACTTACTCTTCTCCTATTTGTCCATGACAGTGCACTACATGAGAAAGAGGAGAGACCTATAGGGGGATTAACAAGGAACCAGTTCTTCCTCATTGCCTTCACTTGCAGCTTTGCATACTATGTCTTCCCAGGCCACCTCTTCCCAATGCTAACTTCTCTTTCCTGGCTATGTTATTTATTTCCCAATTCCATCCTAGCCCAACAACTAGGCTCAGGCCTCCATGACCTTGGGATTGGTGCACTCGGATTCGATTGATCCAGCATATCCTCTTACCTTGGGAGCCCACTTGCTAGCCCATGGTTTGCCACTGCCAACATTGCTCTTGGGTTTGTGCTTATAATGTATGTCATGACTCCAATTACTTATTGGCTTAACATCTTCAATTCCAAGACTTTCCCTATTTTCTCAGATGGACTATTCACATCCACTGGTCAAGATTACAATATCAGTGCCATTGTGGACCCTGACTTCCATATTGGCTTCGAGGTTTATGAGAGGGAGGGTCCTCTTTATCTCAGCACCTCGTTGGCTATGACCTATGCTCTCAGTTTTGCTTGCCTCACTGTCACTGTTGTTCATGTCTTCCTTTTCCATGGAAGGTAAGCTACAGTTTTCTGGTTAAAACTGGTCCTAATTACTGTATATGCATTTTCTTTACATTATTCCTCCATCTTCATGAGGATTGTTCAATTGGTTTGATGCCCAATGTAAGAATCAAGGGTGAAATTAATACAATTAGAACTCTAAAGATCAATTGACACAATAGGCAAACAATATGGACTACGAGTATAATTTGCCCAAATTCTTTTCAATCCTCAAGGAAGATTAATGGATTAATGTAATTTTATTTCAATTCTATTTAAGAGATTTTTTTTTTTTGGGAGTTATAAACTGGATGTGGTGGTGTGGTACATGTAGGATGTTATAGACTGGATGAGGGGAAAGTCTTTGAACACTTGGCTTTTTAGTGAGGCGTAAGAGTTTTGATTAATTAGTCCTGGTTGGTTAGGATTAAAGGTGAAATTGAAATTACAATGCTTGGGCATTTAGCATATCAGTAATATTCTCATTTAACTTCACAAGTGGTCCTTCATGTGAAACAATCAATTGGACCTATCAGCTGTAGGGTTTTTAAAATTATGGTTTTACTAGAGTCTTCATGATTTTCTAGCGTGTAGAGTGTTAATTGTTGAAAGGGGCATTTTTTTCTTGAAGGTGTTCTCTCTATTTATTAAATTTCTGTATTTCATCTTTAGATTAAATGGGTGCAATATGAAACGGCGAGGGGGGGGGGGGAGTTATAAACTGGATGTGGTGGTGTGGTACATATAGGATGTTATAGACTGGATGAGGGGAAAGTCTTTGAACACTTGACTTTTTAGTGAGGCGTAAGAGTTTTGATCAATTACGTTAATCCTGGTTGGTTAAGATTAAAGGTGAAATTGAAATTACAATGCTTGGGCATTTAGCATATTAGTAAAATTCTCATTTAACTTCACAAGTGGTCCTTCATGTGAAACAATCAATTGGACCTATCAGCTGTAGGGTTTTAAAATTATGGTTTTACTAGAGTCTTCATGATTTTCTAGTGTGTAGCGTGTTAATTGTCCAAAGGGGCGTTTTTTTCTTGAAGGCGTTTTCTCTATTTATTAAATTTCTGTATTTCATAATGGGTGCAATATAAAACCCTGATTTGGCAATGATCTCCTATTTTAGTGCTCTCTCTAAGTTGAACCCACTTTTTACATGGTTATAGAGAATTGTAGCAGCAAAGCAAGTATGCTTTCCAAGAAAACAAGATTGATGTGCACACAAAGTTGATGAGAAAGTACAAACAAGTTCCAGAATGGTGGTTCAGTTGCATCCTCCTGATAAACATGACAGCAGCCATATTTACATGTGAGTACTTCAAGGATCAACTTCAGCTGCCATGGTGGGGAGTCTTGCTGGCATGTGGCCTCGCCTTCTTTTTCACCCTTCCCATTGGTGTCATCACTGCCACAACAAACCAGGTATGGCTGGCTCTATGCTTATTCTCAAAGTCTCTTGTCGTTTCATGATCAAAATGTTATATTGGTATACATTGTTAGGTTTATTTCTTAATAGCATAATCTCTTGGGATAATTGGTGACTTATGATATGAGCTTCGGTGCTCAGGGAAATCCTAGATTTCCGTCTTGTTTGCCTCTGTTGTGTCTTTCATTGTCGTTGTGTACTCTGTTGTTCTGTATGTCTTTGTGTTATATTACTGTTCTAACATAGCTATTCTCTCACTGGTGACAAATAGACACCAGGGTTAAATGTGATTACAGAATATATCATTGGGTATATGTATCCAGGATATCCAGTTGCCAACATGTGCTTCAAGGTGTATGGGTTTATTAGTATGAAGCAAGGGATCACCTTTCTCCAAGACTTCAAGCTTGGGCATTACATGAAAATTCCTCCTAGGACAATGTTTATGGCCCAGGTCAGTACCATTTTGTTTTTAGGAAAACAACAATGCAATGTAAATGGAAAAATATTCAGAATTTAAATATACGGTGTAGATTTAAACTTGGTTTAGTGTAAGTCATATCTAAGATAAATATAATCCACACATTTCAAATTTTGAATAATTTTCTAAATACATATCATTTTTCTTTGGGAAAAAAACAAAAGAGTAACTCTAAATACTTGTGTCATGACTAACAAAAGTGTTTTTATTTTATTTTAAATGCACCGTTGATCTTTGAAGTACGCAATTTGTGCTGTTTTAATTCCCAACATTTCAATTGTTTTAATTTAGTGTTTAGATTTAGGCCATTTAAACAAAATTAATTTAGATAGCATCAGAATGTGTTTCGTTCATAAATTTGGGAAGGAATTTGAAAAGGGAAACGGAAAAATTGGGTGAAATGTGAATGAAATATAATTACATTTCATCTAAGTTTCACACATTTTTTCCCAATTCCTTTTCAAATCCCTCTCAAAATCCATGAATTAAACACAACCTTAGTATTTAGGCCATCTCAACAAGATTTTCATACATTGGGGACTAAATTAATTTTCTTTCAATTATTGAGTATCAAAATGACGCAAAAGACTAATAGCGCATTTACCCTTTTTTTTAAATATATTAATTGTTAAGTTGTTCAGTTTTTGATCCTTCTGCAATGATCTTGCTATCATCAGGTAGTAGGAACTCTTGTATCAGCACTGGTACACTTAACAACAGCATGGTGGCTCATGGACACCATTCCAAACATCTGCAACAGGTCCCTCCTCCCCCCTAGCAGCCCCTGGACATGTCCGAGCGACCACGTCTTCTACGACGCCTCAGTCATCTGGGGCCTAATCGGTCCACGTAGAATCTTCGGAGACCTAGGCTACTACTCTTCCATCAACTGGTTTTTCTTAGCAGGGGCTATATCTCCCCTTCTAGTCTTTCTTGCACACAAGGCCTTCCCAAACCAGCACTGGATTCGACTCATTACCATGCCAGTGCTTTTAGGTGCATCAATCTGGATGCCTCCAGCTACTGCTGTGAACTACACGAGTTGGGTTGTGATTGGTTTTTTGTCTGGTTTTGTTGGGTATAGGTATTGCAGGAGTTGGTGGAGCCGCCATAACTACTTGCCTTCAGGGGCACTTGATGCTGGGTTAGCTTTCATGGCTGTGTTGTTGTATTTGTGTTTGGGGATGCAGGGTGTTGAGCTTAGCTGGTGGGGCAGTGACCCAGATGGGTGTCCCTTGGCTTCTTGCCCTACTGAGGTAGGGATTGTGGTTAAAGGCTGCCCCACTTATGTTGGGTAATATGTGAGTAGGTGTTTCCAATTAATGACTCATTGGAAAATTTTATGCGTGGGACGTGCTTTTTGTTAAATAGTCGCGATGCAAGGGAAGGGACGAGACGACTGAGATAGTATATGTTACAGTTTTTCATTTATTAGAAATATTATGCAATAATATCATATGATAAATTAAAACAATATAATTGATTTTAATTATCTTGGTGAAGTGAGATGAATGTGATCATTGCTACTCTGTTGTCAAAAGTGTTTTCAGCTTATTTAGAAGTCTTTGCTACGAGTCCGGATCCTCTGCCATACATTCCTGCCATACGTTCCTGCAGTGCTATACAAAATGACTGTTAAATAAAATTACTCTCCGAGAATATGTAATTTACAGAATGGAAAAAAAAAACAGAACATATTATAAAGCATGAACAGATTTTAATCTTTAACAGAATAATAAAATAGATTATAAATCTTGACAGAACTTACAACTTTCTGCAATATTAAACTTAGAATAAACTTGTGATTGAGGCCAGTGTATGGACACTGTGTCTTTAAGACAGAAATTCGTCCTCTCCTAGGTGCTCGAGAATAACGGACGTCCTGCCTCCAGGATACAACAATCACCCCAAACAGATGCAGCACTACAACCTTGTTTGTACAGCGAACCAGAATGTTTATTTGAACTCACACAAGATGCAAAGATGAAGATGTACAGAAACAGAAAACAAAGAGGACTGATACGGGAATCTACTTTTTTTTTTCATCTTTTGGAATGGAGGATTGCTAAATATATATAATGGCAGTGGAGTGCCATTTCCGAATAGACAAAACCTGTTAGGAAGAACAGTCGTGATTGTTCGGAATTTGAAGAAGGATAACCGAAAATTTTGAATTCAAAATTTCGGTATTTGAATGTTACCCGCAGAAATTTATTTGAATAAATTCAAATAATTTTGGAGCAAAAATATAAAGGACGGGTAAGACCCAAACCCACACCCGACCCGACCCGGCCGGACGGACGGCAGCGGCGGCGCGCGCGTGTGGTGATGGTTTTGTCCATAACTCCTCCTCCTACAAAACTTGGGTACCCCTTGGGGCCCAACCCAAGGTCTCCACCTTAGAGCTTATAAACACTTTGAAACTCTTCTATGTTTCCTATGTGGGACAAAGTTTTAGATACCAATTCAAAGTAACCACACAAAACATTTTTCATGTTTATGAGGCTTACTTCGGTATCAATTTCTCATTCACTCGTAAATGGTTTCAACCACCCGAGTATATATTCTTGTTCACCACATGGCAAGGAACGTATTGCCACTCGGACCCACCCAAACCGAGGTGTGGGACCTACATTAATTAAAGCTCAAAGTTACTGGAAATTAATGGTTATAAACCATTTTTCTCTAACAATCCCCCACATGAATGAAATTGAAAACGAATATGCAACAACATGCAGACACTGAGAGTACAAAACTGAAAATATCCTGCAAAGGATAGGTAGCTTTTGGCTTTGAACCTTCCCTTGTGAAAAACGATCGGGTTTACTGGCTGATTAGTGAACATGATGTCTTGAACTATTCTGCCATAGGTGTAAACCAAGACAACAGTCTGTCACACAGTTTTATTTCCTTACACAATCTGGTTCTATCGGTTGTGCCCATTTTGGCCCTGGACAATACCTGGTTTTCATGAGTGCTCTAGAGAATTCAGCCTTTTACCAATTCTCATTGAACCGGCCCAGTTCACACTCATATAGGTGATTTTCATTAAGAGTATTCTGCTATACCCCACTTGGATTTCCAAGATATGAATATCATTAAAAGCAAAAGCTTAACCTGATTAGCGCTGCAGACATCACTATGTCATCATAGGAAAGGGTAGGAAAATTTTTCCCTTAGTGATACTAATGAGTCACACATAATTCGGTTGTCCCTTTGAACCTAGATTTTGGGATCTCCAGTCAGCTAGGTTGGGTTGCCATTAAGGCGACTCTTTAGTTAAAGGCTTTAAGCCCATTCCCCTCGATGATCTTAAAACTTGCTCTCTGGTCAAACCTTTGGTTAATGGATCCGCGATATTATCTTTTGACCTTATGTACTCAATGGAGATCACTCCATTTGAGAGCAGTTGCCTAACAGTATTATGTCTACGTCGAATATGACGAGACTTACCGTTATACATATTATTTTGTGCTCTTGCCATTGCTGCTTGACTATCGCAATGAATGCAAATGGCTGGCACAGGTTTTGGCCACATTGGGATATCCTCTAGAAATTGACGAAGCCACTCTCCTTTGGTGCCCGATTTAGTATCAAGTTAGATAGAATATCAGGAAAATATATTGCTTGTGATTTTGTTGAACATCATAATCATGATCTTGTGCCTGAAGATTGCATTCATATGTTGCCATCCCAAAGAAAAATTTCTACCACCCAAGCAATTGAAGTAGAATTAGCTTCACAATCTGGAATTCCTCTTAGGTCTGCTTATGAACTATTTGGTAGGGAATCTGGTGGAAGAGCATCACTTGGTTTCACCAAATTGGACCAAAAAAATTACCTAAGATCGAAGAGACAAAAAGATTTGGAATATGGGGAAGCGGGTAGTGTGTTGCATTACTTTCGTAAGAAAACTGTGGAAAATCCATCTTTTTTTTATGCAGTCCAATTAGATTGTGATGAGCAGATAAGTAATATATTTTGGGCTGATGCTCAAATGATCATGGACTATGCTCAGTTCGGTGATGTTGTGACATTTGACACTACTTACAAACTAAATAATGAGCATAGACCTTTTGGATCATTTGTTGGATTTAATCATCATCGAGAAACAGTTATATTCGGTGCAGCGTTGATGTATGATGAGACTGCTGAATCTTTTACATGGTTGTTTCAAATTTTTTTGGAGGCAATGTCAAACAAAGCTCCGAAAACTATTTTCACAGATCAAGATGCTGCGATGGCTAAGGCCATTCCAATTGTCATGCCCGATACAAACCATCGTCTTTGTACGTGGCATTTGCTGCAAAATGCTGTCAAGCATGTAAGTTCTGTTTTCGATGATGTAGGGGTGAAGGGTGTGTTTTCAAAATTTATGCATGACATTGATGATGAAGAAGAATTCCGAATACAGTGGGACTAAATGCTTGATAAGTATGATGCATTCGACAATCATTGGTTGGAGCAGACTTTTCGCGTGAAGGAGAAATGGGGATGGCCATATATTATGAATTCTTGGGCAGCTGGAATGAGTACTACTCAACTTAGTGAATCCTTTAATGCATTTCTGAAGGATTATCTGAATTGTGACCATAATTTGATGGAGCTCTTCAAGCATTTTGAGAGGGTGCTTTATGAGAAGAGGTATAAGGAATTGGAAGCGGAGTATAATTTGTCCCAAAAATTACCGAGGGTTTCAATTCCAACTGTGATGTTAAAGCAAGTGACAGAGATTTACACGAAAACTATTTTTGAGGAATTCCAAAATGAGTATGTGCAGTCCATTGAAGCATCCATTATAGGCATTACTAATGATGGTGAGAGCACCAACTTCACAATAAGAACAATGGTAGATGGGAAAAAAGATAAGATTGTGACAATGGATAGAGGGGGTTGTTTGAGTTGTAGTTGCAAGAAGTTTGAAGTGAAGGGCATATTATGTCGACATTGTCTCAAGGTGCTTAGAGATATATTCAATGCAACGGAACTTCCACCACAGTATATACTCAAACGATGGACTAAAAAAGCAAGGGCTGAACAAGTGAAAGATAGACGTGGGTATGAAGTGAAGGCTTATGTCAAATTACATCAAAGTGACCGATATCGGTCATTAATGACCATGTTTAAAGCAATAGCGAGTAGAGCCGCTAAAAGTGAAGAAACTTATCAGTTGTCAGTTTCAAAAGGTGAATAATTGAGTGTAATGGATAAAGACAAATTAAGTGTCCACATTTGTGGTCAAGTAGAGGTAACTGATTTGAGAAATTCGTCAAGCAACACATGCCTATAGAGTGATGAAGTAGATTGTCCAATCTAAGCTAAGAGGTTCAAGAAAAGAGAATCAACTAGTAAGGGAAGGAGGATCAAAGACGGGATGGAAAAATCTATTACAAAGAAGAAAAGATGCAATCTATTCAGGTTTCGACATGAAAAATTGCATATGATTAAAATACACTAGATTAATAAACTAAAACAATGATTTTTTTTTTATTAATGGCCCACTTTCATTATGATTTTTTGTTGTATGTAGGGTGTCGCTGATTATACTCCCCAATGTGAATCTCAGCCTCCTTTCGGCATGCATAAAAATTCTATTCAGGTAATATTTAGTAGTAATGTGGTCTTTATATGGTTAGTTTCATGAATTCCTTTGATTCAGTCCGTTCACTATTATGAAATTATGAACTATCCACATGGCATTTAATTTTTGTTATCTTTAATTGGTTTGCTTAGCAATGTAGTCGGGTGCTACTGTTTATATTTCCCAAGGTAAATCACAACCTTATTTCGTCATGGGTAGTAATTCTATTCAGGTGATATGTAATAGTAATGTGGTCTTTTTATGGTTAGTTTTATGAATTCCTTTCATTCAGTCTGTTCACTAGTATGAAATTATGAACTATCCAGATGGCATTTAATTTTTGTTATCTTTAATTGGTTTGCTTAGCAATGTAGTCGAGTGCTACTGTTTATACTTCCCAAGGTGAATTACAACCTCGTTTCGTCATGGGTAGTAATTCTATTCAGGTAATATGTAATAGTAATGTGGTCGTTTTATAGTTAGTTTTATGAATTCCTTTCATTGAGTCCATTCACTAGTATGACATTATGAACTATCCAGATGGCATTTAATTTTTGTTATCTTTAATTGGTTTTCCTGGCAATGTAGTCGAGTGCTGCTGTTTATACTTCCCAAGGTCAATCACAATCTCATTTCATCATGGGTAGTAATTCTAATCGGGTAATATTTATTTGTGTGCAAGCTTTTAAGAAAATGTTAAATAGTGTTTCTTTTTTTTTCAAAATTTTTGTTTACTTACTTTATATTGGTTGTATTTAGGATCATGGTGTTGGTGTCTATATCACAACCTCG